CAGGCTTAAGAAACACCGTCAAATACAGTGAGTGATCATTTCTTATCTTTAAAAGACAGCAGGATGCAGCTTTTGTGTGAAAACACTATTTCTACATGCAGGGAGTTATGGGTAGAAGTAGGGCTGGGCGATATGGGAAAAAGTTTATCATAATATATTATTTTCATATCAGTCGGTATCAATATATATGACGATATTAAAAAATCACTTGTCAATCTTAAATGTTCCCTGTTACTCTTAAATGAAATTTAGCAGTGCTTATTGGTAGCATGTCTTTTGCTGTACAATAAGCTACTGCGTCTGTGAGGTCTTTGTGTGTCTTTGACGTTTTGTCATAAGTCTCTGCGCTAGAGAAAGCAGACTGAATGGTCGGCTGTTTCGGCTGCTGTGGGCGGCTTCGCACTTGCTCCGTTTGGGGTTTGAAAACTTTTGCACTGCGTGTGCTCTGCCTCGTGGTGCTGCTTCAGGTTGTGAAATAGATTCGTGGTATTCCCCGACTTTGCAAGAACATGTACTCGACATGATTTGCAGCGCACATGACTGCTTCACGTCTGACCTCAAAAACCAAAATACCTCCAGACCACCGACGTTTTCGTGCCAGTGTTGTCCACGATGTCGTCATCTGCTGAGCCTTTGCCTGCATTTCTGACGGGGGTAGCACTCTTTTCTTTTTTTCTCATCCACAGTGCTGTCAGCTTCATGTGTTGCATGCTATGGTTGCGTGTAGCTGCAGCCTGCTACTACGCAGTTGTTTGCTTCTTGGTTCTAATTCAGCACATGATTGGTTCAGCGCAGCTCGGACCCGGAGCTGACTATTCATATAGTCTACCAAAACATGGCAGAATGCCGACTTTCTGAAAGCATAATGACCATGTTTCATATCGATATCGAGGGAAATTAATTTATGATACAAATCATTTTTGTTTTATCGCCCAGCCCTAGGTAGAGGGTATCACTTTGCCCACCGAGGGCCTCAGTATTTATACAAACCAAAAGTTTCTCACAGCAGCTTTAAATAAAAAGTTTCAAATGTATGTAATTGCCTTTCTTTACTAAAGCAAACAAGACTATTAGTTGCAAGATTTTTAATTATATGTATGTTTCAATTAGTGATTTGATGTTAAAAACATGATTGATTGCTCTGTTGACGAATGCGAGCGCCCACAGTGCTCTGACAGGATTGTCAGAGTAGAGGAGGAACACTGAGAGAAAACATAAACACAAACATTAGAAGTGTTGAACTCTAGTGCCATGACAGTCTGCTTCAAATCAACTCTAAAGTCTGTTCTCGGGTGGACTGTGCCAATCTGAGGGATTTCTGATGTTTTATCAGAGAGTTTAATGTATTTATTGGTCGGCAGAGGGGGTCTGACAGAAGTCCAGCTGCTCTGCCAGCCCACATGTCATCACCTATTAGGGCAGCATTATGGCTTCACATCCTACATTTGGCGGAGCATGAAGGTACACAGTCCACACTGTATACAGTCAATGTTTTGGACTCAGAGGACAGAAACTCAGACAGCCGGTTATTAACTAATAAGGTTAAAAAGAAGCAGCTGATGTGAGCAACTATGTTCACAGAACCAACATGGAGAGAAGAGAGAAAGACAGAGAGAGATGTTGATAAAAGTCTCACAGGAGCTAAATTATGCAAGTTTGTAAAGAGTCTCTGTGATTTGCTGATACTCCTGATTTAAACACTTTTCCTGCTCAGGCATGTCACCACAACAGATCATGTACTTTTATAGAAAACTACAAATCCCATTTTGTGTGAAAATTCGATGAAAATTGTGTTTTTCTTGTTTTTTTACAGGTTCATATATTCATTTTTTTATGCTACAGGACATATCATGAGAAACATATGTGCAAAATTGCATTTCTGAGTATTTCTGCATTCAAATCGCTGTGAATCTCTGGCAGACCCAAAAGTGAGATTTCCTATGTCACAACTCCAAGCTCCGCCCCCTGAGCCCTGTTATGTAGGCCACACTTGGAGAAATAGAGAGGACAATCGCGGAACAAGCATGTGCGTTAGCTAATTGCAAAGCTAACTATGACATTAACTTTCATCATGTCCCCAAAGGCATTAGTGTCTTAGAGCTGAATAGCTTCTATGTTACCTGCGTCTTCTACACACCGGCAATGTTAGACTACAAGCTAGCATGAAGAGGGTGTGCAGAGCAGTGCTGTCTCCACCCACAACAGGCGAATTGCTAATGAGCCACTGGAGCTCTGCAGAAGAAAAGCCCTTAAAAATGACACCAGTTGCGTGATTTTGGTTAAAAACTTTATAATCACAATTTAAAAACCACTGAGAACACTAAAAGTAGTAAAAACGATCGGAGTGGGACTTTAAAGTGTGTGTAAAACTATGGTTAACTGTCTTTAACACGCCTTTAATGCCTTGTTCCCAGCTATTACAGTCATATGCATTTCTTCAACATTAACATCAGCAGTATGTAAATAACCTGAAGTAATCTCTTACAGACACCCCTTTGTGGATTTGTGGATTGTCCAATCTCAGCCATAATGATGACACCAACTTTTCTGGACTGGGAAGAACTGCTTGCAAAGCAGAAGTACCGAAAAGAAAGATATTACTTTTGGGGTTTTGCCGCTGTGTATAATGTGTTTTGTGGGTGCTCGGGCTCTTCAAGGTCAAGGCCTGATGTATTGTGTTCCTTTGAGTGTTTGCAGAAAAGTTTGAGCGCTGAATCCTTTTTCCACTTTCCGTCAGAGCGGTAAGAGTGAGAGCAGTCTTGACAAAGTGAATGCCGCGATTTATTTTCATACATATAGAAAGTCTCCGCGTCCTGCTAAGCTATTTTGAATGCATATATCGAGAGCATATTTTCCATCACAGCGCATTTCAGAGTCTATGACCACGAACAAGACACTGTTGTATAGATTCATCTCAGTCTATGCTTCTGCTTTTACACATTATTCAAATGTCCCCATCTGTCTTCTGTTGAAAAATGCTGCCGTCCCCAGGAGATTCACCCCTCAGCCGCAACACTACAGAGGACACTATTTCAATTTTCCATGCCAGTAAAGTGTTCTTATTTCCTGCATGAATGAACCGGGAGACAACAAGTGTCATTCGCAACTGTCAAATTTGCATCTCTATGACGCATCTGTGCTCTTCGAGAGCATCACTGTGAGGGTCTGTGCGGACATCAAAGTCTCCCCTCGCTCAAGAATGTGTTTCATTTGTTTCTCCGCTTTAAGGTTTGACCTTCACTGCGTGTGAAATAGTTATGAGGGAACACAAGGAGTGTTTTCAAGGGAATGTTTCTCTCAAGATCGTCTTCTGGGTTTGATATACGTGTTTATTTCACCAAGGTTATAATGACTAGACTGGATGCCCTTTAGATTGAGTCCAAGAGTGGAGATGGACTGAGTTGAGAAGAGTTTTAAAATATGTTGTTTTTCTATTAATAGATCCTGAAGTCATTGAGAGGAGTGCGTGGTTTAAGAAATGTGATAATGAGATTTATCACACATCTTTTGACCGACATCGTTTAAAGATTGAGCCAAATTAGGTAAAATAAGTATCAATTGCAAAATGTAAATAAGCGTTGAGAAAGCAATTGTGTACCCATTTTATTGTAGCTAAAGCACAAGGATTATTATTATATTATATTATATTATCCCTCGGATCTAGCTGTCCATGTCGCTTGGCCATGATACTGAAATCGCACCAGCGTCACCAGGGCTGTTTTGCCACTTACTGACGTCATTTAAAAAAAAAAAAAAAGGGAAAAAAGTGTCATTTTCAAGCGTGCCTCCTCACCTAGAGTATTTAACTAAATATGCACAAAGCCCCTTGTCGTGGGATTCTCGCACAAACAATCAAAATATAGCGGAAAAACTCAGGTGTAGTCGGAGAAATACGGTGATGGTGATATTTATTTACAGCCGGCCTTCCACGGTGCAGCGCAAAAATATCTACAAAAGTGCAAAAAATAGTAAAATACTACGTATTTACAAAATGTAGAAGGCAAAAACAAAAAAAAAAAACAATGCAGGAGTTCTGCTATAGCTGTAGATTCTCAATCAAGAAAAAAAAAATCAGAAACACAGCAGCAATACAAAAGTCAGTTTAGCATTTACTGTTCATGCAACAAACTCCAGTCTCAAAAAGTGTTCAGGCAGCCTTCTTTTAAACCCCTCCTAGCCCCTCCCAGTGGGCGTTATTAATTAAATATGTTTGGAAAAAAACTTATTTATTTACAATTAAACCATTTTTAACCTTTTTCTCTGTAAGGTTTTACCATTTTAACTAAGTTTTTACGCAAATCAATGGAGCATTAATTTTTAGCAATTTGTGGCAAACAACAAGGGCGTGACGGCGTGAATGGACGCCCGGCAGGTAAGTGGAGAGACGAATATCTATGTGAATGTCTGTTTAAGTTAGCCGATAGAGCTTGAATTGAGCACCCTTTGTTACCTTATGCAACAGAGAAGGGAGAAGGAAGAGTAGCGCTGGTTAGTGGGGAATTTGCGACGCTGGCGGAGAGGGAAATGTTTGACGTTTATGTAGGTTTGTGTGTGTGTGTGGCGTCATACGCTGCCCGCGGTCAGTGACGACGCTGCTCCTTCACGCCTCCTAAACGTTGAAATGGTGGTAGAAGTATTTCCAATGTTAAAAAGGTAGTAATATTTTCACTTAAAAACGCCTTAAATGATGGAAAGCTGGGATGAACGTTTGAGAAGGGCGATGATTTTTGCCATTTTCATTTCAGGGGGGACGCTCAGATCTGTTCTTCCTTGAGCTGCGTTACCCCTCAGCAGTCCGTAATGAACTGGCCTGAAGTCTCGCTACAAACAAGCTGCTGCTGGAGGAGAGCGGGTGAGTTGTGTTTAGTTTCTTTTTTAAAGAAATCAGGCAAAGCTAAAAAGATGTTTGGTGGCTAGTACTATGGCTGGGACCCTATATGTACTGTTGGTGAAGTTAGGTGTTGTTCTGAGTATTATTTGTGGCTATAGAGTGGCGTTTTGGTTAAGGTTTGCACATGGAGACATAGACCGCTGTGTATTGCGATACTGCGATCTTTACTAAAGTTGGTATAACCAGAGAAGCAAGCAGTCGGCAACATTCATCTCTCTCGGGGGTGTCTAACTTGGTGTTACGGTGTGTTTAACCCTAAATTAATCTTATGCTGGAATATCCCTTTAAAGACGCCAGACTCCATATGAACTATAAACACACACCATACTCCTACATGTGCCATCCTGCAGCATAAAAGCACTATATTCACTTTACCTGAGCACGTTTGAGTCAAGTCAAAAGTCTGTCCATGTAAAATGAAGCAGAATTTAAGTACAACATAGCATATTACTTAAATACTCCAACCCTATCTTTACATGATCACATCGTCTCCAAATAGGAAACAAATTTTGCAGAGAAAGTGTAAAAACATCCATGGTATAAGTCTGAATGTCAGAGTAAAGCATATTAGAGTATTGACAGGCCTGTTTGTTCAGTCTGTGCCGTAAACCACAGGATGCAGGTCGATAATGGGTTATAAGCTGCATCACATTTTGAGTAATTTACTGTATGAAAAGCACTCAGGTTGATGTATAATTGATGCCTAAGAATTTATAGATAACGCGCTCATCCTCTCTTGTGCTGATTTGCTTGTATTTTAATACGAGGGCTAAACAACATGGACTCATTGCTCAAGGCAGCTGCTTGGCGCTGATCCAGTTTTCACCACAGAGGGAAGAGCGAGACAGAGATAAAGGAGAGGGTGGATCAATGCAGGGTGGAGAGACACGCTGTGTAATGTGGAGCGGATTTATAATACAGTTTTTAACAGCATCACACAGAGAAAGATTGTGTTTCCTGAAAGGGGAGGATATTTTCCGTCTGTGTTCTCATCTCGTTACTCATAAACATCGAGTTTCTTCGTCTGGTTATTTAAACCATAAATACTGATGATGAGGAGCCTCTGACTTAGTTTCTGCTTTTCTAACAGGGATTTAATGACCAGATAAATCACTTTCAAGAACATTAATATCAGCATCTCAAGAGTCTCCCTGAGAAGTTAATTCAATATTACATGATTACAGAAACACCCAACTTTGCTTTCCTGTCAAAATTTTAATGGAAGAAGTTGACATCAGAAGATTCAGCTCGTGGTCATTAGATACAGAGCGAGAGCTAAAAGATATCTCCCTAGATGGACAATCAGTGAGTTTACATGCACAGTCAGATTAGAGGATTAAACTGGACTTCGGTCTTTATCTCAGTTTACATGCAATGGGCAAAAGTTGAATTATTGACCGGCGCATGTCCACCTCTGCGACAGTAGGTGGCGACATGCTATTGCTATTGGGTTGTCCTGTGGTTAAAGTATTACATACATAGACTGTATATAGAATGGACGCTGTTTGCCTTCTAGCTGGGTGAAGCCACAGCGAGAACAGCACCCTCTGGTGACGGGCTGCAGTATAGATCATAAATCCTGCCTCCTCCAGCAATCCCTATGGAGCTGTGGACAAACTTTAGAAATTAATCACACAGAATGTTAATTTTTATCCCCCCTGATTGCGATGTTGACATGTAGTTACTTTAACACTGGTTTGTGCTCAAGTCCTCTTTTTTCTGTAAAGCTCAATTTTTAAAAGTTATTAGGGGTTCATGTTTTCTATGATTGACACTTGAAACAGCCTATGGGCGTACAAGATTGCGTAGCTCACCTGGGGGATACACTGTTTTAGCCACAAGTGGTGGTTCCAGGAAGAGGAGAAAATCACAGAAATACTGAGAGCAATTCGGCTTCAAATTCATATAATGACGGAAGGTGGAGCCAAGTTGTCCATAGCATATAAAGTCTAAGATTATACATCAAAACACTTGGCATTGTGTTAGCAAGAGGCTAACGGGATGATCAAAACATTGTCATTTTTAAAGCTCTGTACTATTTGTCTTTGCATTAGGAAATTTCCATATTTTAAATGTCCTTAATTCATCTGTTGAGTTCTTTTTTTTGTACTTAGCTTTCTAGCAACGCATATTTCATTCATTCATTGATTTCAGCAATGTGCAGTTTCTATACAGCTGTTTAGCTCTTCTTTAAGTTTGCATTAAAAAAACATATTTTCTGCAACACATTCTGTTGATTGAAAAGCTCAGTGTTTCTGTTTGGATGCGTTAAATCCTAGTCATCTTTTTTTTACAGTTTTTTTAAGGCTTTCTTGCACATGCCACTTTGAAGCATGTTTCTGTTCGTTGCCAGCAGAGTAAAGTCACGAGTGCAGGCACTGTCAAGCAGTACAAAGCCAATATGAGCAATGAATTGTTTTATTTGCAGGCTGCGACTTGCCTTTTTTTCACTGTCTCTGAGAGGAAGCTCAATCCAAACAGTTGGACGGCTCTTCAAATGGCTCCAGACTCAACATCAGGGCCAAAGTGAATGACCCAGCTGAGATCTTATCCTCATTCTTGACTGTTACATGTGGTCTTTGTTTAGTTGTGCCACTCCCAACAAAACAGCCGCTCCTTTTTGCTCCTCGGTAGAAGTGGGGCAAGTGCAAATCCATGAAATATGTAAAGGGTAAATCTTAAGCCTGCCCGTCATTTTCAGCTGCCTAGGGACCAGGAAGATTAGGGTTAAGAGGAGGAAGAGGGTGGATGAACAAATACTCCATCAGTCATTACTGCTGCTGACCCAGATTCAGGTCTCTGTGTAAAACTTCCATGCAGTTTTGGGCGTTTTTCCCCTCTTACGTGCATCCTTTACACCTATGTTATGTCTGTTTTCAACACCTTCAGACCTGAATGCGGTAAAAATGTGATTATCATCATGTAGCCCTCTGATTTTAAGGATTACTGATTGAATATCTTACATTTTATGTTTGAGAATCTCCGTCATGACTCCATTTTGAGTCAATTTTGCTTGACTTTGAACCTCACAGCCCTAAATGATCAACATGGCTGAGAAATACACTCAGGAATCACCAGAGCTGACAGGGGAGAAATAGCTAATCTTTAGTGGACAATAATTGAATCATTGCATGATTAATAATTGAAAAGAGAAAAAGAAGAGTGAGGCAGCATCTTCAGTCAGACTCAGACAGCTTAAGTTATTCAGAGTCTCTCTGGGGCTGCTAAAGACCTCTGCTGCTGTGGAGAGAATTTTAACAGAAGAGATGGTGAAGTGGTCTGTGAGCTGCTCTGGTGTCATTACATTTATTTCAGTTTGCAAATTAGTTGCATTTGTATGTAAGGTAGTAGTTTGTAATTTGATTTTTTTGCAAAAAGAGTCGAGTGCATGGTCATTTCTGAACCTTTAGTGCAGCCATGTTTGCAGGATGAACAGAATATGACAGTGTAGTTTGCCTCACATAGCTGCTCCTGCTCCTTTTTATTCTTGTTTTTAGCTTTTTTTTTTTGTCTGACACACCATCTTCCATGAGCACTCTCTGGAATGTATAGTAGTCGACACTTAGATCTTAATCTCTGCTAATCTTCCTAAAAACCCATCTAATTCTAAAAAGTAATCTTATCTCATGTCTCAGTTCAGAATACTGTGAAATATCAGATTTTCCAGTTGAAGCTAAAATATTAAAAAGTCATCATGTTTCATTTGCAGCAAAGACTCACAAGCACAGCTATCTCATACCAAGAGGGGGGTTCACTTCACGTGGTGGGTGGGCGATTGCTCGAAGCACGACCATTGAAAGACAGGAGACATGGGAGTAAGAGCAAGAAAGAGAAAATACAGGGACAAAAAAATACAGAAAGAAAAAAAGTGGAAACCCCAAAGAGTGGTGGAGAAATTTCAGAGATACTGAGAGAAGCTTTCTTTCTTTCAAGGACTGCTGTCTCAACAGAGAGACCCAAAACACAAAGAAGGAGCTGTATTTTCTGCTTAACATTTTTTAACAACATGAGTTTTCATGATGGAGTAATAAAACTACTGTAAATAATATATGATAAAGAGAGTTTGTAAAAAAAGACGTGCCATTATGAAGAGGTTTCAGCATATTCTGTAAATTTACAGTGACATTGGCGATACATCAAGACTTCAAGTTATTAAACCATTAACCAGTGTCATAACCTGACACGCCAGACAGACTGTTTTACATATCCATGACATGGGATGTATTTCACATCCATCTCGGCAATACCCTATGAGCAGTGTTTGAGAAAGGCAGAGTCCTCAAAAACAAACCAAATGAGTTATTATGAGTGAATCAGAGCATAAAACGTAGTCGGCAAATGCTGCTGTGGTGGGATGTAAAGCCAAGTCCTCAAATGAACCGACTATTGCTGCGTTCGAGTTACCTTGGAAGTCAGATGTCGGAGCAGAAAATGATGTCACTCCCGAGTCACCAGCGTTTCAGTTACCAAGTCAGAAAAAAGGAAAAATCGGAGGTGGAAACAAGATGGCTAAATCTACGAAAGTTATTTTATTGCTTGCCTTGTCCGAATATAACAAGGACAAGGTAAGCAATAAAATAACTTTGGTAGATGTACCCATTTTGTTTCCATCTCTGATTTTGCTTTTTTCTGACTTGGTAACTGAAATGCTGGTAACTCAGGTGTGACGCCATTTTCAGCTTTAACATCTAACTTCCGAGGTAACGCGAGCGCAGCATATTGCCTTCCAGCTCCAGTCCTCTCTGCCTCAGTTGTAAAATCGAAGTATCACAGCCGTTTTTCTTTCTTGTCTTTTAGGCAAATGTCAACTTGATAATAAAGACAACCCCAGTTATGGTTTGTAGTTGAGGTTTCGGATGGGAGGATGAGTCTCTGGTCTTGATCAACTCATATTTCCCAGTCCTTTGTTGCATCCAGTTGACTTGCGTTAGAAGGCAGATTGGTTAGCCTGTTACCTCCTCCTTTATTAGATGAAGGATGATTGGTGGGTGACTGGTTTTCTTGTCAGAAATGTGATGGTCTCACAACTGACTGAGGGTTATTAGAACCAGACTTTGGAGACAGGTTCCATGTTCTGAGAGCTAAAGGAGTTTGAACTTTATGTGGCCCCGATGAAAAAGTAAAGTCTGTCAGTTCCCATGATCTAAAGCATATTCCATGTGGTTTTCATCCCCTCTTTGCAATCTCTCCTCATCTTTGGACCCCACCTGGCACTTATGGCCAAGGACTTCTTCCTTACAAGAATTCTTCTCAAGGTTTCATTTAAGTAGTTTTTGATTTGATCCCAGGATATCGCCTCCTGTATCTTGGAGGACATGACCTGTTATATCAAGGTGTAAAGGTAGGTCTTTACATCAAGCACTGCGGCCACCAATGTCCATTTCCTCCCTGTCATTAGGATTGGAACTCTGCCTCTTACCAAGGGAGGGGATTAAGTTTCAGTTGCACAGAGGGTTGATGTAACCCTTTGAAATGGTCAGCTCTTCTTAATACTTTTATAAATAATGTGGTACGAGAACAAAAGAAAAGCTCTAGAGAAAATCTAGGCTGTGAGGAAAAAGGAGTATTTTAGCTTTTTAAGTTGATCATGATTTGGAGCTACCAGAATTGAAGGTAGGGTAGGCAGGATCTGAGGAAGTGTTTTGGGAGAAATCTTGAATGTACACGCTTCCCGTAGCGTCCCCTATCATTGTTGACAAGGCTTTTTAGCTCTTGTCCGGTCTACCTCCCTTTTAAGCGCCCATTATTCCGCCAGAGTCTCCGGTATTTACTTAGTTCTCTTGCTTGTGTTGGCAGTCGTGGTCAAAGGAGGATTCAGACAATTTTCCGTACTTTATGGTTGGTGTCTACTGTCCGATATTGTAGCACGCTAACTTTGTTTGGGCTTGTGTACGACTCGGGGAAGCAGTCTCTGCCTCACTACCAATCAGTACTAAGGAGTAGCGACCGCCTCACAACCGATCAGGTCGGGGAGGTGAAGAATGGCGTCGTTTACAGTCAGAAAGAGCGGGCCACTTAAAAGTTTTTAAATGTTGACTACACAGACATAACAAAACACAGCGATATCGTTATATTCCCAAATAACATCAATAACTATTGACTGATATTAAAAGCTTTTTTGTATATACACTACAAAAAAAGATGCTTCTTTAACGGATTTCTGCCTACCCCACCTATAAAGTGGCATGTTAGCAGTGTTGCCTAACTGCAAGAGGTTCCCGAGTTCAAATGGCTTGGTGCCGTTCTGCCTGGAGGCTTGGCGTACCAGCTGAAAGCCAAGCCTTTAATGTAAGCCTACATGACTGCATGACTTTAGGAGTTCCATTCAAAAGCAGCGCAAGGCCACCTCTAGATCCGCCCCTGCTGGGATGACAGTTGGGGACCCTTGCGGTCTTGAGGCCCCACTTTGGAGCACTCCTGCAACACACAGCGCGCTTCAGTCTCCTCCTCCTCCCTCTCTCAGCCCCGCCCTCCAGGAGTGAGTCCGGGCTAGAGAGAGAGAGAGAGAGAGAGAGAGAGAGAGAGAGAGAGTCTGTAGACACACTCACTCACTCACACACACACTCAGCTTTTCTTAGCAGCCCCGCTGGCTCTCTGTACTAACGGGACAAGTTTAGACCTCCGGGATATCTGCCGGTCCTTCGCTTTTTCTCTTCCTCCTTGTGAACATCTCGACCCGGAGTAAGGTGAGTGCAGAAACGCGGGCGTGTTGCCAGTTTGGAGGGTTTATCTGTTGACTGGTTGAAAGTAACGTGGGGTAAAAAGGGGGATTTTTCTCAGCAGAGGGAAAAAGCGGCAGGCAGGCAGGCAGGAGAAGAGGAGGCATGTCCGACTCTTGTTCTTCTTGGAGCAGTTGGAGCTAGCCCACTTTACCGCCTTTTCAGGGTCAGTGAACGCTTCAGTACCTTGTGTTCAGACCGGGTGAACACGGTCCTTCTTGCCGCCGGTGTCCGAGTGGATTCAGCCCCACGGTTTGAGATTAGCAGAGCGGCTTCTACATCCTCTCCGGGATGTTGCCATTACACCGCTGCTCTCTTACACACACACAGACACACACATACACACACATGGCTTTTCCTACATCCGCTACAGCATTTCTGCACCACATACTTTGTCCACTCGAGTTTAAAACCACGAAAAGCTGCTGTGATTCGCTATTCTGACACTTTTAAAGACATTTGGAGCTTAATAGGACAGGAAATGTTCATAGTTTGGTTGACTTACTGAAAACTTTTCAGTTTAAAACACGCAGAGAACTTAGGTGTTCGTGATTTTTCCTGTTTAAAATGGGTTTAATTCAATATAGGGGAGAGTGGGGTAAGATGAGTCATTTTCATATTTCAGATCACTACATCAAGACAATCATAGTTTTGTCTCTAACTAGTGTATCTGCATATATTTCAAGATGTGCATCCCTGCAAACCAACAGAATGAGTGTAAACATAACTGTCTTGATAATATAACATGCCAAAAAAAGGTCTCCTATGGTAAACATACCCTGTGTATGGGGTAAGTTGAGCCACATCCCTACTCACTCCACCCCAGCCCTCCCTCACCTTCTCTCTCCCTAAATCACAGTCACTTCTTCACATTTATGTGTATTTTTATCTATTATACGCTATTCAGCTGGTACAATAATTCTTTTTATTATTATTGCATATATCTGCTTAAAAGCTGTTTTGTAAAAAGCTATTTTAACATGGCTTAACATGGCTCTTTAAGTGATTCAGAACATTCACAATATTCATATTTCAACAATCTGAACTGAAACTCTGATCCTCTCATCAGAGTCCTTTACTTTCTCAGTTACCCCAGAACTACTATGATGACTTTATTAGTCCTCTAAGCTAAAATGATGGACTTTTATGCTAGGTTTTTGACATCATGTTGTAGCTCATAGATACCACAATTGATGTATAAACAAATTTAAAATGATCTTTTTTGGTCTGAACACAATTCTAATAAAACTATGACAGACTAAATTCACTTTCAAGAGTGAAAAATGTTTTTTTGGGGGAAATAAATGTCTAAGCCCTTCACTAATGTGCCTCTAACCTTCACAGACTCCACGAATTGATGCCCATGTCCTAAATATTTGGTCACATGATCAATTGCTTTTACCATTTCCAAGCAACAGGGGGTGGCTCAACTTACCCTTCAGCTCGACTTACCCCACTCTCCACTACGCGTCGTTGTTTTTTTGTTGGTATCAATTGTTTGGTTGATTGATTATTTCATCAGACGTTTTATCAGGTGGTCTATGAAACATCTTAAGGTATTAAAAATTTAATTTTCGCCTCAGCCTACTGCATCCATAACGCCATAAAAACAAAAATAAGGCAGCAAGCCATCATACATTAAAGGCTATAACCATAAAATGGATCTTTGAGAATAAACTTTTTTTCATTTACTTGCAATTTCACAAATTGACTTTCTGCCCAAAAGCCAAGGAGAAAAGAGAAAACAATAGAAGTGATTTAAAAAGGCATATTCTTACATTTTATCAGCTGAAACCCACATTTAGTGTAAAAAAAAAGCTCCCAGTAGACCGCAAGATTAAAGCTCCCTTGAGGAATTTCAGTGCCCTCTGCAGACAAAGCAGTCTTTGCATATCTTGTGTCCTTTGTGGCCGAACAGTGCCTTCTGACTAAATATCTCATCCTACTGACTTTTTGTGAATATTTTATGTGGAGATTGTAAAAACTGGGCTCTTTCTTGAGCTGTTTGGCTGACACCTACCCTTAAAAACCTTTTTGCATTAAAAAATCACAATTTAAAAATAACCAATCTTGACAATCTTGGCTCTGTTTGCTAAAAAGGCAGCAATACGAAGGCCAGTCTATTTCATGGGTGCCAAACAACTCCTCTCAGGAGCTTTAAAGTTTTGATTAATTTGTTGTATTTGAAAATAGTAAAAAATATCCTCTTATGATTGACCAGCTATGCAACATTTTAGATAATCTGCTTAAAACACAGACCAGTTTAGACCAGCTAAACTTTCACCTTAAAATTGACATAAATTTTAGTGATTACCGCTCAAATCAGCACAGGTTTCCACATCAAAGTGTCTTAGAAGAAGCGTGACAACATCAAAACTGTCCAATTTACTGGTTTCTGCTGTGGTTGCTTCCGCTCTCCTGCCCGGTGTTCACTCACTCAGAAAGCTGAAAACATCCCCGACTTTGTTAGCCTCACTTTGCCAGTCTGCCAGACATGCACTTTGTTAAGATAGCTGGTGTGTCCCTGCCCGGCTGTGTTGGCCTTTAAATGTTTGATGTGTGGAGACGTCCTGAGCGCTTCCTCCTGCTGTTGCTCTAAGAACCTACACCGCCTGCCAGCCTGTGTTGGAAGAAATGAGCCGTTAGAGAGAGATGCTTCAATCTGTCTTCAAACACATGCACATGCACGCGTGCAAGTATACAAGAGAGGAAGCATGTCTGTGAATGCAAACATGCAAGTACAAGAGAAGCTCTGCAGGCCTGCATGACAAACAGGCAGCCAGAATGTAAGTTTGATTACATTAACCTGGAGTTGTATGCCCTAGGCTTACAGCTGTATACCTGATAATGTTTTATTTCAGCTGCATGTATGATGTTCTGGAATGAAATGACTGACATGATGATACTGTGCATAGAAGCCTATCAGTAGGAGTGGAAATTAGCAGAGGCTTAAGCAAAACGAGGTCACAGCACTTTTGGCATGACTCAATATTTTTGCAGATAGATGTGTTTTTTTCCTACGGCATGCTCTGTCATCAAAGAAACCTCTTTTTTTTTTACTAATGTGATATTTTTTCACTTCACTTATCTCAGCACATTCAGTTTTAGTGCAACAAGAAACAGGATTGTTGAGGAGACAGACCAGCTGACCTGCTCTGCCATTACTGGACTTCTAGTCTAACCTAAACGGTGAAAGCCACTTTGTGTGAACTTCTTTAATCCTTCAGATTATTTGAACAATGCTCTTAATTCAGGAAATTTCACAAATCTTTCTGCAACTGGAGGATTTAAAGAGACATTTCTATTGATGAAACAAAAAAGGGAAGCCTTCATCTTTGTTAACTTTACCTCTAAGGACTGTGTGGAGGTGGGAGGGCTGGGCGATATGGGAAAAAGTTTATCAGGATATATATTTTCGTATCAGTCGATATCATGATATGTATCAGGAAATAAAAAAATCGCTTGTTAATCGTGATTGTTCCCTGTTACTCTTAGATGTAATTTAACATGTACTCGACATAATTTTCAGTGCACATTACTCGGCATCATGTCCGACCTTGAAAAACCAAAATACCTCCACACCACTGACATTTTTTGTGTTGTCGACGATGTCGTCATCTGTTGAGCCTTCTGCTGAGGGTAGCACTTATTTTCTTTTGTTTCTCACCAACAGTGCTGTCGGCTTCACGTGTTAAATTTCTATGGTTGCGTGTAGCTGCAGCCTGCTACTATGCAGTTGTTTGCTACTTGGTTCTAACTCAGCACATGATTGGTTCAGTGTGGCGCGATGCAGGGCAACTCCCTTTTCATTGGCTATTCGTATAGTCTACGAAACCATGGCAGAATGCTGGTTCTCGAAAAGCATATTAACCACATTTTATGTTGATATCAAGGGAAATACATTTTTGATATACATTATTATCGTTTTTCAGCCCAGCCCTAGATGGTAGTCTTTATTCTCACTGTAGATTGAGCACCAAAAACACTCAGTGGTTCATATATTTATTTGCAATATTACAGTCCTAGTTTCTGCATTACAGAAATACAGTAATACTGCCTCAGAAAATATTGTTTGGATCCTACCCATGCATCAACTCTTGGGCTCTCCACACACTTTCAAGTATGTTTTTGTGCCTTTCATCAGCGACCAAACAACATTATAAGAAGGAGATGAGAATGGGGAGCAACAAACATTGGCTAAATTGCAGTCCAAGGTCAGCATCTGACGTTTTTAGCCACAAGTGTAGGTGGCCGTGTTTTTGCAGATAGCGAAAAAAGCTGATGGAAAAGCAAAACTAGTAGATAGTTTTAGAAAAAAGGTAATCTTTCTCAACCTCCAAACAGAAATTACAAAAAGTCAGCAAACCACCAAAATTGAGTACAGTTTCTTTAACTTTGGATGATCATTTAGTCTGATGGCAAATGTCAATAAGTAGCAGAGCTAGCACCACCGGCCTTCGATCCTTGTTTAAATCCAACATCTAAAAGCCTCTGCAGGTGACACAGTCGGAGCCCATTTACCCAGACACTGCCTGAATTCAATTTTATTGGCTGCTCAGGTCGATCTCTTCTCTTTGATTGTGGTCTCGGAATCTGTTGGATTCATCATAATAGGAGCAAATATTCATCCTTGTACAGCCTTGTCAGGTGGCAGGTGGCCGCCCAACTGCTTAATCATGGCGCATGACCAGCATTTAAGATCTTTGGAGGCGTTC